GACCTAGCACCCTCCGATTATCACTTGTTTCTCTCTTTGCAAAATTTTTTACAGGAAAAAAATTCAAAACTGAAGCTGATGTCAACCAAGCACTAGTCGAGTTCTTCGCCTCTAAAAATAAATCATTTTTTAAAAATGGCATTTACAAGTTGCCATCACGCTGGCAAGAAGTCATAAGTAACGATGGAAAGTATATTCTACAATAAATATTATTAAATGTATGAAAATTGTGTTATATTTCAATTCAAAAACGGACAGAACTTTCCGGTAGACCTAATACTTTTCCACAAGCATAGAATAATTTCGGAAGATCTGTTGTTGTACAAGAATATTTGGATTTTACATTTTCTCGACAACGATCGAGATTCCGCGGATCCGGAAGCCACGGATGCAAATCTGAGCTAACGGTATGCAGTCGGTTCTCGCGCGTCCGTTTTAATTTATTTCCGATCGATCGTGTCGGCCAGTTCTCGCTCGACTTCGCCAGGAATCAACCCAGTTCTAGAGTTTTTGCCCGCGGAATCCGCACGCTCGGCCCTCAGACTCTACCCGCGGCTTAATTGCGTGATCCGCTTCGATTGACAACACCTCTGGAAAAAAACCCGGCTGTGTCTCACTTTCACTTCTCCCCGCGGAGAATTTCTAGGTCACATCCGCGCGCGTCATTCGCTGCCGCCACCGATGATCCGCTCGAAACGGAATTCTTTTTTTTCACGAAGAGGATACACGAGCCTTCGTGTTCGAACTTCGGAATTGCTGACAATGACATTTCGCGACGAAATGTTGTTCCATTATGACATTCGTCGCGTGATCGAACCGGAATGTCCTTTTCTTCTCGAACATCGATTTGCGAAATTTTCATGGGAACACTTCTGAAAGTTCTTGTCGTTGTCAGACTGGTTGCGAAACAGCGCACAGGAACGTTTTTTTACGATTTCTTTGAGAGTTACACGAGCATGAGGTTTTCCATGAAAATGTTACAGCCTTTTGTGTAAAGATCACGTAACACTCGCGTGAGTCCGACTTTCCAGTAAAACAGATGTTGCAGCGTTATTCTTGAATGTGCGAGAACATTGTTTCGTTAATATTTCTCTGAGACCATATTTCACAAGACATCTTTTTCTGAGATCATTTGAATATTGCTTTACTCTCACATTTTTTATTTTGTCAGCGAACAAACGGAATAATTTTATTCGAATTGTCTTTTGAAGAAATTTTTCGAACACAATTTTAATTGGATAATCATTCGGACAAAATTGTATTCAAACAATATATTGAATAAATTCTTCGAATAAAATTTTATTTGGATAATCATTCGAATAATATTTTATTTGAACAATATATTGAATAAATTCTTCGAATAATACAGGGTGTCCCAGAAATGTCTCGCAATCCGAAAGTGGCAGGTTCCACGGGTCATTCGAAGCAACTTTTTCCTTTACACAAATTTTCTCCGAGGCACCGTTAACGAGTTATTAACGAAAAACAGTGACCAATGAGAGGCGAGCTCAGCTGGCGCGAGACGACCGAGCCAATGAACGGATCTGGGCTTCGTGCGCTGGTTGGCTGGGCCGCCTCGCGTCAGCCGTGCTCGATTCTTATTGGTCACTGTTTTTCGTTAATAACTCGTTAACGGTGCCTCGGAGAAAATTTATATAAAGGAAGAAGTTGCTTCAAATGATCTGAGGAACCCGCCATTTCTGGATTGCGAGACATTGTTGGGACACCCTGTATATTTTAAAATATATATCTTGACACATCAATTTGTAATTTCATATAAAAAACCATCGGGCTCCTTTGGCGCACCCTGTATAATGCACTGGCACTATTGACGATAATTGACTATGCATTGTAAATTGCGTCCAACCCAGTTACACCTCCAAATTTCGCAACGACCCGCGAAGTTCGAAATTCACCGGATTACAGATCGTTATACACGGTTTCGAGGAGTGCCCTTCGCGTCGAGTCGTGTCATTTTTGGGACACCCTGTATATTGAATAAATTCATCGAATAAAATTTTATTCGATTAATATACTGAATAAATTTTTCGAATAAAATTTTATTTGAATAATCATTCGAATACAATTCGAACAACATACTGAATAAATTCTTTAAATAAAATTTTATTCGAGTAATGAATTGAATAAATTCTTTGAATAAAATTTTGATCGAATACTTTACTGAATAACTTCTTCGAATAAAATTTTATTCGAATACTTTACTGAATAACTTCTTCGAATAAAATGTTCTCCGTTATTCGTTAATGGAATAAAATATGCCAAACTCCGCGTGTAGAACATATTCGTCACTCGAAAATCGTGCATGTTCTTGGAAAGTGTCGGACATCGGCAAAGAAAAATGAAATCAGTGGCAACGGTGCGCGGTCGGCCGGGATTCCAGACATCAGAAATCCGAAACGGAATTTCTTAATCATTTTCGAACGCCGGTACATCCGAATATTATGGATTCCGTTTGGAAGGAAGGGATGCTCGCTTTCGTCCGGCGTGTTCGGTCTCCGGGATTCCGGGACGACGGTCGGTAATAGGGTCCGTGGCACAAGAGTCCCGGAAATTACACAGAAAACGTATCGCAGGTTGGCTGCACGGGTTTCGCGTGTAATTTGCAAAGCAACGCTCGAAACTCAATTAACGGGAGCGTTTACATGTGGCCCGGCCTCACTCTTCTCCCCCCCTGTTTCCCTTCTCGTCCAGGAACAGCCTAGGCTTTTACAAGTGACCGTTCCGTCGTCGCACCACCTGAAGCTCCGACCTCCCTCGACGACGCGTTCCGTTTCGTGCTCAAGGTTTCGCGTCGATTTTCACAGCGGTGGCCGGCCAACTCGTTGTTAACGGGATCTATCACTGACAGAGGCGATCAAATCCAGGGAAATTGCAAAAATTTTCGACTGTTGCGGGATTTTGATAGACTTTTTGGAAAAAAGCGGTTCTCCTTCTTTAGCGTCCTGTTTGGATGAGGACGGTGGAGAGAGACAGCTCTATTTTTCTTGATATGAATTACTAGAGGGTAGGAAAATGTAGCCACTAATTAATATTATCCATAATTGGGCATATTTCATTCGAATAACGAAAATAATTTCATTCGTAGAATTTATTGGAAATATTTTGACCGAATCAAATTTTATTCGAAGAATTTATTCGATGTATTATGCAAAGAAAATATTAGAAAAATTAAAAAATTAGAAAAATGAATCAAATATAAGATTATTATTATTATATATTATTCGAAGAATTTATTTGATATATTATTCAAATAAACTGTTACATGAAGAACTCGTCCGATATATTATTCGACGCATTTATTTATTATTTTTTCTGTTATCAACAAAAAATAGTGTCCACTGCTAATTCGAATTTAAAAATAAGTAGTAACATGACTATAAAATTTGTGTTGATCATATTAAACGTATGCTGAACCAGTGTTCCTCAATTATCCTAGCAAGGAATTCCGGTCGAATTTTTGCCCCTGCCATGAAATCCCCGCAATCACGCGGATCCGCTGACCGCTGCGAATCCCAAGAGAGATGATCACACGTTGCCGATGATCACGGAAACGTTCCACGTCCTCCTCCCCGTGCTTCCGGCAGCTGACAGCTCTTGTTCGCTAGCTACCCGGCGGCGGTGACTAAGCTAAAACCATCTCTGGAATCGGAGAAACGTTCTCTCTCTCTCTCTCTCTCTCTCCCTCTCTCTCTCCTCTCTTCGGGACTTTCACTTGCCCGTCGAGAACAGGTTGTGGATTCACGTCGGAATTCAGGAACTCGTGTATAGCGCGGCCGCGTTTCGTCGAACGAAAAGCTAATGCTCGGACGAGCATGGATCCGCGGGATTCGGATCGCTGCTTGCACACCGTGCTGTTGTTCTAAATGAACGGGCCTCGCGTGCGCGGCTGCCGTTGATCGAATCCGATTCGATTGGTTCTTGAACGCACTTCAGATTAATTCAATTCGATTCCTGGCCTTTAATTGAGATTTTATGCTCTAGTTTCTGTTCCTCGTTCCATTCTTTCCCAGCCATTCGACGACCACCTGTTCTCGAATGATTATGCGTGTTTCTCATGGTTGGGCGGCTCATAGTTGAAGCTGTTCTTCCGTTATCGCATTGTTAGACTATTCAAATTGTATCAATTTGAAATATAGATATAATAATTTTAAATAATTGCATTCATTAAAAAATATATTCATATAATTTAAAATAATTATATTCATTTAAAATATATAATTATTATAATTATATATTTATATAATATTATTAATTATTATACTAATTATTATAATAATATATTTATAATTATTATAAATATGTATAATATTATGAATATGATATGAATATTATATAATTAATTTCTTTTGCGTTAATATTCTGAATATTATATAATTAATATCCTTTACATTAATATTCTGAATATTATATAATTAATATCCTTTACACGAATATTCTCAACATTATATAATTAATAACCTTTACATTAACACTAAACCTACCGCGGTCAAAGTGACCGCTTTCTTATTTTGCAATTCTGCAAAGTTCCGAGACTCTTCCGTGGAAAGCGCTTGAATAAGTTATATTATTGGAGCAAGTTTTATAATAAAAGCTTCACAAANCTCATAGTTGAAGCTGTTCTTCCGTTATCGCATTGTTAGACTATTCAAATTGTATCAATTTGAAATATAGATATAATAATTTTAAATAATTGCATTCATTAAAAAATATATTCATATAATTTAAAATAATTATATTCATTTAAAATATATAATTATTATAATTATATATTTATATAATATTATTAATTATTATACTAATTATTATAATAATATATTTATAATTATTATAAATATGTATAATATTATGAATATGATATGAATATTATATAATTAATTTCTTTTGCGTTAATATTCTGAATATTATATAATTAATATCCTTTACATTAATATTCTGAATATTATATAATTAATATCCTTTACACGAATATTCTCAACATTATATAATTAATAACCTTTACATTAACACTAAACCTACCGCGGTCAAAGTGACCGCTTTCTTATTTTGCAATTCTGCAAAGTTCCGAGACTCTTCCGTGGAAAGCGCTTGAATAAGTTATATTATTGGAGCAAGTTTTATAATAAAAGCTTCACAAATTCCAAATAAATTCGGTCTTCTCGCTTTTGTGAAGCAGTACATGCCATTTAGTATTACTGCTTGGTAGGTTCAGTGTTAATATCTTTTTTAAAGAAACTTATGTTAACAAAGTGGCGATAAATAGGACTGATAGAAATGTGATAAAACGTTTTCGGAGATATTTTAAAATTGCTGATACACGTTTCCAGGCCGAAGATGCAGGCAGCGGACATCAGGTTCACCTTGTACCCCGTCGGGTTCATCATTAGCGCGTGGTTTCTCGCGGCTACGTTAGCCGCCGGTTGTCTGCTGCCAGTTTCTCATCACGTTCTGCATTGGCGTTGCCAGACTCATCACGTCGCCTGTCTAATGCTCGGCGATATTCTCATGGCCATCATTCAGCTGGCCGGTGTGTCTCCGCTCGGCGGAAGCTGCAAGGTGCTCGGTGAGTCATTCTGTTTTATCGGTGTTTTCTGCTTGGAACGAGCTCCGTTCATCCCCTCGGATCCGTCGACCGTGTCTCCCCCGTGGGAGCCCGTACTGTTTTCCAAGGAGATTAAATCAAAACGATGAACGGGAAACAGCAGCCTCGGGAAAATTGTCTATGAGTCAGGCGGAGCGCGTCAGCCTCTATGATCGCGATTCTTCAAGGCCTGTTGGCGATTATGTAAAGAGCCGTTGATGGTTACCACACCCTACGGCTACGCTGAGTACCGTAATCGTTCCCTAACAAGGCTGGTTCGGCAACAAGAAAAGTTTGATTTTTTTTTTTGGAAACTGTGCAAGTTTGTTGGGGTCTTAAACTCCCCTAAGTGGAAACGACGAGTTCCGGCCGGAAACATTATCTGACCCATATGCATTTCTAAGAACCATATAAATTTCTTCTAATTGTTAGAAAGAAAATTATTATGATGTTTAAACATTCTCTTGCTTGTTTTCTTTTTATCTAAAATATTTATATAAAAAAATATATATATAAGTATAGTTGTAATGAATTGTTAGAAAATAGGCAATATTAAAAAAGAATTTGGATAGCTTGTAAATCTCGTTCGCAATAATTAAAAATTATCTTAAGAAATTTTTTCTTAATTTCATATCTATTTAATGAGCATAGGAAAGTATCGAATGTTTATTGCAACGATTACTTATATACTTAATGTACTTTTTAAAGATATTGTATAGAAAAATAGAGAAATTTCTATCTGCGTACATTAGGGATTTTTCCACCCTAAAGAAGCGTTTTGTGGCCGATAATAAAAATAGCTCGAAACTCGTCTCAAGGTCCCAAATAGATCCGCACAGTGTCAAAAAAGTCAGAATTCTCGGGTTACCGAATTTGCTTTGTTACGAAAATTTGCTTTGTTATTTTTAAGCGAGAATTATGGAGTTTGAAGAGACCGATTTCTCGCGAAATCGGAACGATGTGTGTAGTCTAATGTCAAGATTTAGCGCCTAGTCGTCGTTGACTTTAGTGCATCTATCTAACGAGTACTGGTACCATAATCGACCGCGCAATATATCGCTATGAAAATTAATTCTTTAATCCGAACGTAAAACAGTGTTATCTGTATGCGGGTAGTAGATAATGTTCGGATTCTGCTTAACGAGAATATATCCTTGTAGTGGGTTTATTCTGACCGTTGCAATGACTTCCATAGCGGTGATGAGTGCATTTATCGCATAAAAAAGTCGATACTTCTTTGATCTAATTTATTGTTACTATTATCGTTTGTATTCGCGTTATGTATATCGATCGAAGCTTTCGCAATTTCCGTTCTCGGCTGCACAGGTACCACTTAGTCCGATTTTAATATATTCGCAAAACGATGAACAATTACGCATTTACATACATTATAGTAATCATATATTCGTTCCGGCGTAGAACCTGAGTGAAGTTAAACATTAATGATGCAAAATAACGTTTCACTTTTAATCACGTGAACTGAACGAATTATACCAATTTAACGTCCCCATCGAATTTTCCGGATTAAATTTTCTGGCCAATTCGCGTTGCTACTCAACTATTTCGCAAGCTTGAATATCGTTAATTCGTAATCTTTTCGCCAATTAGCGTGGAGCAATAATTTCTGCTTTTAAAATAAACTGACATTCTGTATTGGAAAAAGTGAAATTAACAATTAGTTCAATACACCTGGGAGTGAGATATCGAGTTCTAATAAAGGAAACGATGGTCTAGAATGTTCAAATTATATTCTCAAATTTTTCGGTCTCAATAGCATTGTTATCTCTTGAGCGACGATTTTGGGGACTTATCTTTTTGCGACGGTTTGCAAATTGTATGACACGCATGCTTCGCATAGTAAGTGTGACAGCGAAGGGTTAAAGAATCAAAAAATATTCATCTCTTTTCTCAAATAGAGCCCTAAGAAAAATAGCATGATTAAATTGCATTTTTGTGCGACCTTTGTCGCAAGACGATATACTTCAACGACGAAGCGTGTTCATAATAGATTTTCGAACCGAAGTGTCTCTTTACACTTTGATCTCCACGTGGAAATCAATCGCAAAGACGCAATGAAATAGATTGAATACAAATAGCATTCGCTGTGGTCCACGTGGCCGTAGGAACGAGGGAAAGCAGTAGTGTAGCTGGCTGGAAATTCTCGCGGAAATTCGGCGGTCGCGCAGGCTGGTCGGAAATATATCCCGGTTGGTAGGGATTACAGGGTCGAAGAGAAAGAAATACGTTCCATGCAAATACCGTCGGTTATCCCGCGGCGGGACATAATTGCCCCGCAAAACGGACCAAGGTAAAATCTGCTCGCGCGAAAAAAGGCCGTCCCGTTGCGATAATGGCGGGGACACAGGCTGGACGAGATGCAAATGAGAAAATCGCTGGCCCGAGGTTTCCCTCTTCGGGATCTCTCGTCAGAATTTTTCTGTCTTTCCTTCTGAATTTTTCTGTCTTTTCTTCTGAACTTCTTCTCTTCCTTCTGAATTTTTTTCTCTTTCCTCAAAATCTTTTTCTCTCTTCAGAGTTTTTCTGTCTTCAGAATTTTTCTCTCTTTTCTTCAGAATTTTTTCTCTTCTGAATTTTTTTTCTTCCTTCAAAATCTTTTTCTCTCTTCAGAATTTTTCTCTCTTTTCTTCAGATTTGTTCTCTTTTTCAGAATTTTTCTCTCTTCAGAATTTTCCCCCTCTTTTTTTAGAAATTTTTTCTCTTGCTTCAGAAATTTTTTCTTTTCCTTCAGAAATTTTTTCTCTTCCTTCAGAATTATTTTCTCTTCCTTCAGAATTATTTTCTCTTCCTTCAGAATTTTTTTCTCTTCCTTCAGAATTTTTTTCTCTTCCTTCAGAATTTTTCTCTTTTCTTCAAAATTTGTTTCTCTTCAAAATTGTTCCTCCTTTCTTCAGAACTTTTCTCTCCTTTCAAATTCTTTCTTTTTTCAAAGTCTCTCTTTTCTCAGAGTCCTTCTCCTTTTAGAGTCCTCCTTTCAGAAATCCTCTCCGTCGGCGTAATGCTCTCTCGCAGGTGCGCGCCCGGTAATCGATTCTCGCGATCGGGACGGTCGAGGCGGAACGTGGCGAGCCGAGGCTTTGCGAGGGATTACTACGATTATCCGAATAATTAGCCCGGAGTTTCGGGGTGGTGCCGGGAAATAAAGCCTCGACGCGCGTTCCGAGCGGGCGAGCGACCGAGCCACGCGCGGTCGGCTCGAATTCGGATTCCATCGGTGTATTTAGTCGCATGGTTTCCCGGGCCGGTGCGTATCATCGGCGCGATTGTTCGCGGATAAAAATTCGGCTCGAAACAGGCATGAAACGCGCGCGCTGGGCATCGCGGGGCCGGGAGCGGAAGCTTAATCGACTCACTCGCGATTAATTTAACGGGAAATTGCGCTCCTTCTACTCGGCTGAACCTGAAACGTTTCGACCCACCTTCTCTCCTCTCTCCTCTATGCTCCACCGCTCTCCTTCGTGCAACTCTGCAGCTGCTGCTGCTGCTCCTGCTGCGTCAGAAGCGGCATGCATTTTCGAAAAGTACAGCGAACTGCCAATTAACTGCTGGAAACTAGGTGACACTGCGGCAACGGAACTTGGGCCGAGTTAAGCTGATTTCTCATGGCGATGGTCGACTGCCAGAGCGATTTTAACTAGTGTCCGATGAACGTGATGACTGTAATTTGGGACAGCGATTGTTGAATTGCTAATCTTGTCTGGTTTCACGTCCGCTTGTAAAATACAGTTGCTCAGTGTTATATTCAATTTATATTTGTCGATTGAAAAATATTAGGCTGTTCCAAAGATAACCAAGATTAAAGCTTGTGAAAGTCGTAAAAGTCGCAAGATTGCATTTATTTAAACGTTGTGCGAGTTTTATTGTAGCGTTTGCTTGAATAAAGAAATAAAGAAATTCAGAAAAGAAGAAATAAGGAAATTCAGCGAATAATTTTTCATGAAAACATTTTCGTAATTGCAATAATTTTTAAACGGAAAATTGAGAAGCGGTTATTTCACCACTGACGATGTGTTCAGTGTTAATATCTCGTATATAATTAGTTCTTGTCCAGCGATTTTATTTATAAAATCGCGGAACACGCTGTTATCTCGTTGTACGAAGTGACTGAAGTTTCTCTAAATCGCAGAAATTGGAACATCGGAATATCGGATGTCCGTGACGATGAAAACGGTGAAGTGTGTCGATTGAATTTTTGCGAAAAATACGTAAAATTCACAATTTACTCGGCAGTCTGCAAAGTCTGGGTAAAACGATCCCTTCGGTGCCGATTCCCGGAAAAATCGAAGGTTCCGCAGTCGGTGGATTTGGTCGACAATAGCTGAAAGTTTCGAGCTCAAATATGGCGAACCATGCGAGTTCCACGAACACGCACGCCGACCGGGGCAGGTTTATTGCTTCCGGTGATGAGAGCGTTTCAGGTTGCAGCGAAGGGCCGGGCCGAGCCGGGCCGGGCCACGGATCGTGGGGAAAGGAGAGAAAGTGGGACAAGGCACGCCGAGTGACCCACAATCGTACTCTCCCGGTTACTTCTTGCTTTTTCTTCGATGCTCCTCGCCTTCCCGGGACGAAAACTTTTCGTTCCCTTATCGGAGAGTTTCATCTGGATTCTGCCGACGGCGAGGGGAGGGGATCGTCTGTGTTAGTGGGGCGTACACAGCTCCGAAAATATCCGGCCACTTGTTCGTTGAACAATGAACTTTGCCGTTTCGGTGCGCGAAACGCGACCGGGTGCATCGGCCTTTGCGCGATGCATGTTACTTCACTCGCTTGTATGATCGCGGAACAATCGCGAATGAGTGACCCGAACCTTCTCTCTATCTTAATGCTGTTCGTCGGCCTTTTTGCTCATCTTTAACGGCACGCTCCTTCGATGAAAATTCATTCCTCGGTTTAGAGTCTAAACTTTAGACACGGCATACTTTCCGACTTCCGTGTTCTTTCTCGTGATCGCGTACAGTCGGTGT